CCATGGGAGTTGCTTGTTCTAACAAGGGGGCATTAGGCCTGCAGCTGCAGCTAGAGTAGCTATTGAAATCAGGGGAATGAGGTTTTATCTTTCATCCATCTTATTTACAATATGGGATATTTTTTATATCTGCACAGCACTTCACTAACTGGCCTCTGTTACACTCACGCCCTAAACCTGCTTCCCATCCAGGTAATGGCATCAATGTAACCTACCAGTCCTACATTTCCTACTTGCTATGAGCTGGTATCGAACCGACGATTCTTTGCATGGGAGTCAGTTGCTCTAACAAGGACCTATCTAAACTCCAATACACCAGCTAAATCCTGTCTGATTTGTAGTCTGAATTGGTGAGTCAAGTGACAGTTGCTCGCCCGCTTTTTTTCAACAAAATCTCACAGCAATTCAGTTTTTGTTTCAGTCTCTAATTTGTATGAAATTGTATGATCTCATTCGTACAATTTAGTATGCTCATCATCCAATGATGTTGATGAACTTCTTTTTAAAATCGTACATTTTCATACGACTGAACTCGACTTTGTACGAATTAGACACTAAATCGATAAAATGTAAAAGCGTTACATTTCCTTATGAGATAAGGCTGCTATTCCACAGCTTTCCAGCCATGCACACCCCTTTCCACTTCTGTGGCAGCAGTACATGCCCAAGATGCATTTTTTTTANACAATTCTGAAGTAGACGTGAACTGAAAGTGGTGNGTTACAAGACCCTTTNCACCCTCTATAATTCATCTCANCAGCAGGGTTCACTCCACTTGCTTTAATTACAAAAGAAGCATGGACTCCTCTGAACCTCAAACTGTAAATCCAATTTTCTGGAGAAAAAAAATTTTACTGACAGAAAAGTTTTTAATGGGTTGCTTTAGATGTCTGCAACATGTGTCCCTATGCCAATGATGGCTATCAAAGCAGATAGCAAAGATAACTTCTTTTAAAAAAAATCATAATACAACAAAAAGTACTGCTCTGGAAAAAGAATCAATAAAAATTTGCAGGCTTTCATTTCTCAAAAAAAAAAAAAAAAATGCACAAAATGGGCCATTCACAAAACGCATTTCTGTTCTTTCATGTTCAGTAAAAGGTTATGATAACAACTGAGTGATTCAGCAGAGTTGTCAAAGCAGAACTAAGAATGAATAAGCATTATCAGAACTGTGCTGTACGAGGAGAAAGCGTGTGCATTTGGTGCCCAAAATTCCCATTTCTTTTCAAATATTTATATGTTTAATTATTTTAATAATTTGTCACTCATTGTCATGGATCACAAGATGTTACAGGCCATAATAATGTTATGTTTCTGTAAAAAAAGTGCCTTACATATTAATCGTCTGTGTGGATTTCTACTTAATTACTATGTGTGTATGGATGTATATTTGCACATGTTTGTGTATGTATGTAGGTATGTCGTCACCTTAGAAGTATAAGGTTCTATCTGACATTTTTGTCAAAATGTTTTTTTAAAAACATAAATGTTACACACATACAGTTTGCTGTGGAAAGCAAACACTTCAAAGCTCAATATCTCAAAATCATTCAGAACGCAGATAGAACCTTATAATTCCAAGGTGACAATGTGTGTACGGATATGTACAGTTAAAGTCAGAATTATTAGCCCTCCTAATTATTAGAGCCTCTGTTTATTTTTTCCACAATTTCTGTTTAATGAAGAGAATAGTTTTTTTCAACACATTTTTAAACACAATAGTTTTAATAGCTAATTTCTAATAACTGATTTATTTTATCTTTGCCATGATGACAGTGAAAAATATTTAACTAGATATTTTTCAAGACTATACAGCTTAAAGTGGTGACATTTAAAGTTGTGACTAGGTTAATTAGGTTAACTAGGCAGGTTAAGGTAATTAGGCAAGTTATTGTATTACGATGGTTTGTTCTGTAGACTATCTGAAAAAATTCTTAAAGGGGCTAATATTTCTTTCCTTAAAATGTTGTTTAAAAAATTAATAACTGCTTTTATTCCAGCTGTAATTAAACAAATAAGACTTTCTTTAGAAGAAAAAATATTATCGGACATACTGTGAAAATTTCCTTGCTCTGTTAAACATAATTTGGGAAATATTTAAAAATAAAATTCAAATGAAGGCTAATAATTCTGACTTCGATTGTATACTGTATTGGGTAGGTATATATACTGTACATGTACTGCGTGTATATGCATATTATTTTCTATAATATTATAAACTGTAAATATACTCTGTATTTAATATGTTTGTGTTTAGGATGTGTTTAAGGTTAATTTCTGTTAGTTATTTGTCATGATTGTATTATTTGTGAGATGGCATGGACTTTGGCACCGCTGGGGTGTGGGCTGGGGGTTGAGGAGTGAATCTTGTTTTGTTTATTAAAAGAAAATTGTGCAGATGCTGTGACCACTCACATGTAAAATCAAAAAAAATAAATTATGCTTTTATGTATATAAATCAAAGCCCTAAGTAGAAATTTTCCTAATTCAACAACACTGAATAGTTGTTTGTCCATTTTGTGTCCATATTAATCCCATCAGTTCTATTACGGTATCGTGCTTCTTTTATAAATTGTTGGAATGATCTCACTCAACTATGTCACTGATGAAATTTGAAGTAATGAATAATGTAGAAATTATTATTATTATATATATATATATATTCTCAAGTTTTTCTTCAAAACATAAAAAAAAACAGAATTTATCACTGATCACCAATAGTGTTTTTATCTTGATTTCATTAGTGCCATGTATGAGTCCAAAGTTGAAATCTGTCAATCGTGTAACCATAAAACCCTTCTTTCTAACCTAACAGAACTGACAAAAAAACAGCTTCAGATGACAAATAATATAGACCTTAAATCGGTTTTTACATTTTTAAAATTACTTATTTTAGACAAAAAATAAATAAAATAATAATAATAATAATAATAATAATAATACATTAGAGTTTCTCCTGAAGCGGATATATTATACACTATTAAAAATTCCTTACTCTGTTAATCGTCATTTGGGAAATATATGAAAAAAAAAAAATAGTCACATGACGGCTAATAATTTTGAATTCAACTGTACATTAAAAATAAAAAAGAAGAATTATTTAAATAAAGTATATCTACATAGAATATCTCCTTTTTACCTTCTTTAAATGCACTGTATCTTTAATTTCTGAATTTGCCATAAGAAAAGCAGAAGCTTTTACCAGAGCACTTGTTTGGGAGAGACCAGGTTAAGTGAGCAGCTCTCCAGACCGTCCCTGAAGCGGATGACTTTGGCATGAACCCAGGCCGGCAGAACCATGATGAAAGAAGCTGCCCACACAAACAGGTTAATGCGGATGGTCCTGGATCTGGTCCTGAGACTCAACAAGCGAAATGGATGAACAAGAGCCAGGTATCTGCAGAACATCAATCAATGAGTAATACAGACCTTACAAACAGCAGCATTAAGCATTAAATGACATCGAAAGAGAAAATGCGAAATAGCTCCCATCTTTTCTTGAAAAAACAAAACCTTTTAACATTTACTAAAGCACAAACAATGTTGTTGATAAAAGAAAAATACAGCTGGAAATGAGCTTTTTAAATCGTGTTGTGCTGAGATGTGCTTTGGCATTTATGAATTGAGATGATCTTCTTGAAGGTAACAGCGACCCTCTTTAAAACAGAAGGAAACAGAAACAGATTTTTTTTCTTCAGAATCCTACTTTTTAAATCTGAGAGGGTTTGTGAGAGAAACAAATGTGAAACAACAGGAAATATAGCACTCCTTACTAGCTAAGGAAGCATAAAATAGGTCAGTACAAAAGCAATTTGTGACTTTAAATTACTTTTGTGTTGCAAAAGATGCCAGTAATATAAAATTTTAGCATCCCATTTCTAAAAAAAAAAAAAGAAAGAAATCCAAATAATACGAATGATGCATCACTCCCTATTCATTCCCGTGTTATATTTTTTTGTAAATAAGTATTATAATCATTATTAGTAGTAGTAGTAGAAGTGGGGGCAGCACAGCAGCTCAGTGGTTAGCACTGTTGTCTCACAGCAAGAATGTTGCTGGTTCAAACCTTGTCATTTCTGTGTAGACTTTGCATGTTCTGGGTTTCCTCAGGGTGCTCCAGTTTCCCCCACAGTCCAAAGACATGCACTACAGGTGAATTGAATAAACTAAATTAGCCGTATTGTATGTGTGTGAATGAGTAAGTGGGGTTTCCTAGAAATGAGTTGCGGCTGGATGAACATAGGTTGTTTTCCTATTTGATGCTGCTAAGACAGGAATACACATTTGTTTCAGATTATGATTCATTGTTTTTAGTTTGTTTTTAAAATCCCTGTTGTTATTTCTGAATTCTGATATTTCACTTTTTGAGTTGCACTGCACTGTGGTTTTAACTATTGTTTTTAATTGTGCTAATGATTTTGCTGGACTGATGTACAGTATAATTGTGATAAGGGTGGCCTCTAATGGTGAGAATACAGTGTAGCAACAATTACCCTAGTAGCAAAGAATTCTAGCCCAGATTTGGCATAAAGCTGGCACAGCAGGCATTCATCTGGCACTGGCATACAGCATGTGGGCCAAACATGGCCCGGGTTTGGCAGAGGTGGCACCGTCTTTAAGGCGGCACACAAGATTTGGGCCAGATGAAAAATGTAGTATTTGGCCCAGATTTAAAAATTTGATAAGTGGGCCATGTGAGTTTGGCCAGTCTTGACCCACATTTAAAATACACTAAAATCATTTTTTGAATAAAGAAAAAAAATTCTACCTATCAGGTCACTTTGAGAAAAAGCGTGTCCAGAGTGTGCCTAAAGCGCATCACTCCATGGGTTTATCAATTTCATTGCAATCGTGACACACCAACCTATCTGACCCAGTTTAGGCCCAGTTATGAGTTATTAACTTGGCTGAGACTTGGCCCAGATATGGTCTGTGTTTGGCCCTTGTCTGGAAGCCAGATTCGGTCCAGTCATGTACCGTAATTCACTGCGGCATGTGGGCCAAGCAAAACCTGATTGTGTGGGCCAGAGCTGGGCCAGAGAAATTTTGCTATATGGGTAATAATTAGACAATATCTGATACACTGATGGTTTTAGGTTCGTGCAACACACAATCAACACCAACAAATAAAAACGAATGCCCGTCCCAAATAAAAATTAAAAAATAGCTCATTTCCAGAGAATTGTTCAAAATAAAAATCTTTAGCAAACTTATGCCTTTACAGCACAAGCTAACAATTCAGTTATAAAAATACACTCATCGGCTTTATTGAAGCACAATGATTATAATTCATTCTTAATCTTAATACTGTGATTAACTGCATACACAAAGCTTTGACTGAAGAAAAGAAAATAAGAGAAATGAAAAGACAAGAAAAGAAAAGCAATGGGAAGATTTTTAAAAGCTAATATTCTATGTGCTTCAACATCAATATCCTAACCCATAATCCTGTTTTATGTTCAACCATGAATATCATAAAAGGCGAATGAAACTGACAAACCATTAATATCAATCAATTGTATTTTCTGTAAAATTTTTCCTGTCAGACATTCAAACACTGAACCAAACGAGCCGCAATCAAGTTTCACACGATTAAATGAGACAGCACAAGGCCTGTAAATGCTCTTGTTTGAGTATAAAATCCTTATATTGACAGGGAAAATAATGTGAAAGCATACAAATCAGTTTTGATTGGATTTAAAATGAGAATTTTAACGCATTATATTTGCTGAAGAAATACATCTAATGTTTATTTTATTATAGCAGGTTATCTGGGCATCTCATTCTACATGAAATGATGATTTGAATCACATTATTTGACAGTAATTACATTTACAATGCTTTAATAGTGAGGGGAAAAAGTAAAATAAATTGACTGTTGACGTATTCACCTGTCCAGACTCATGGCAGTCATGACTGCAGCACAGGCCACCTGGTTGCAGTTGTCCAGTGAGGTGATGATGGTGCAGAGGCTGCTGCCGAACACCCAGTGCCCTCCACGCGCCCACTGGTGAATCAAGAAAGGCATGACAATCACGTGCACCAGATCGGCCACAGCCAGGTTCCCGACATACACGTCTGGCACTGTCTTTTTGGCAGACCTGCAAAAAAGAAATTGTAGTGATGTCTTAGCCCTTGGTGAGACAAAACAGCAAGGTATTTTGTGAAGAAGAACTAAAAAGTGCAAGCAGCAATAAACATGGACAGCAGACTGAGGTCAGGTCATAGCTGTTTTCTCAGAGAAGCAGTGAAATCACAGTGAAATCACTAAATTGGCTCTCTAGCGCTAATTAAAGGGGCTTTTTGAAGGTTTGAGAAAACCTTGTTATTATTGACAATAATGGCCATTTAATAACCTGCAGGAACAATCTTCTTGTGCTAACACTTGTGCACACATTACAATGCCACTTTTATTAAGACTTGTATGGCTGTATATAATTTAAATTATGTGTCTTACTGAAAAGTACACCGTTTTTGACATCAATTTGTTGACAAATCTGTGTTTACTGGTGCTGTCAATAGCTATTTTTACACAACTCCCTTAATCTGGCTCACACAATCAGTTTTTGCTTGGCCCCTATGGCGCAGTGAATTCAGTATATAACTGGAGCAAGTCTGGCTTCCATACAAGGGCCAAACATGGACCATATCTGGGCCAAGTCTCAGCCAAGTTAACAACCCAGAACTGGGTCTGAACAGGGTCAGATATGTTGGTGTGCCATGCCTGCAATGCTATAGGCATGCTATAGGTGTGCTTTTTCTCAAAGCAACCTGATTTTTTGCCTCAAAATAATCTAAATGGGTTTAAAATGTGGGTCATGATACACCAAACTTAAGTGGCCCGCATTTTAATTTTTAACATCTGGTACAAACACTACAATTAATATCTGGCTCAAGTCTTGTGTGCCGCCTTAAAGACGGTGCCACTTCTGCCTCTTTTGGGCCATGTTTGGCCCACATGCTGTATGCCAGTGCCGTGTGAATGCCAGCTGTGCCAGCTTTATAGGCCAGAATTCTTTGATACCTGGGTCTGAAATTAAAAGGCTGCTGCTTTTTGTTATTTTGTAATTTTCAGTCAAAGGGTGATATGATGGCTGTTGTATGACATCAATAGTTTACTATAGTGAGGCGAAAACAATCAGAGATGCCTGTCGATAAATATTTTTTTTTTGATTCTCGCCCCGTTAGCACTAATGATTTTGAGGGTTTTTGTAAATTAAGAAAAAAAAAATGGGTGATGATAAAAGAGCATACTTAACAAAATTCTATTCACTAAAAAAATGATTGGATTTACTAAACTTTTTAAAGGTATCTGCTTGGAAACAATTTATATGCACTAAATTTAAGCAAACAAATAAAGTTGATCAATAATAAATTAACTTTGTTTAAATTCAGCCCATATAAATCTAAGGCAACCAGTTACCTTAAAAATATTGTGTAATTCCAATGAATCAGTTGTTTTGAATAAGTGTTCCATTGATTTAATAAAGGACTCAAGGAACATTGAGTGAGTCCATGATGAGAAACAGCAAAGACAAGGATGCCATCTTAGATTGAAGCAAACATGAAGCCACTAAAGGAGAGAGTTGTGGAGAGACCTGATGATTCATCCGCTTCACTGCGGTCAGTAAATGCATGGAATGTAAGTTAAATAGAACTTAATATGTTGAAAAATCAATGTTAGACCTCAACGATACAAAACATAATTTCCAAACATGGAAAAAAAATGTGGCCAGTGAAAATGCTTCCTTGGTAAACTCTAATCCAATTAATAAACACTTTTCTTTAGTTTCTAGTGTGCTGAACAAATTGTATTAGGTACAGTTTCAGTTTCATATACGAGCCTGGTACATTGCAGCATGATTAAAAACTGTTTTTGGCACAGAATTCTGGATTTGACAACTGTGTAGTGCCATATTGGTAGATTGTTTGTATGTTATGTCACTACTCCATGCAAGTAACTCCATAGCTTGTTATAAGAGGAAATGTCTGATCATAAGAAAAGAGAATCATTCAGCTTGATAGTGGAAAAGTGGCTAATGTCATTCATTAACACAACAAAGATGATGTCAAGCCCTGCTTTGAGGTAAATAGAAATAATGCCTTTTCAATAATATATGTATTATGAACCTCCAGATGTCTTTCTCTGTCTTCCTCTTCCACTGTTGAGAGCAATGTTTAAATATGTGTCTTCTCAAAAACAAAACAAACACACAACAAATGATCAGATCTTAGCAACATGGATACATGCACAAACTGAATTTCAGCATCAGCATCATGTGTAGTCCTGTAAGAAACCATAGTTTGAGTTTAGTCCACTGAGTTAGTCCATTTCCACCGTAGAAAATGTCTCTTTCTGTGTTAATTCTATTAATCATTATTAGCATTCAATTGATGTGACATAAAAATGAAGAAAGCCTTTTGGGTTGTCATGTAAATGTCACATTTTCCCACCAGAAACACATCAAGTCCCTAATATATAGGAAGTCAGTAAAGAGCAATAATGTGCAAACAATGTTCCCCCAATGACAAATTCTTAAATAAATGAGTATTTCACACTGGTAGCAGTGCAATATGGCTGCTACGAGTGTAATATTGCATTTATACAACAGTTTAATGGCATAATCTTGTATATTAAAAAGAAAATCCAACAAGGGAAGTCTAACTACTTTGTTTTGCCATTCATTCACATCTGCAGCTGGTATCAGAACAGCAAAAGCCATAGCTACTTTAAACATGTCACTTTAGAGCGAGTATTTAAATGATTCTATAATATCTAAAGTGCTGACAAAACAGGTGATTTTGCTCACATTTTAAGATTATAAGGCTGAACAGCATGAAGTGCCATCAGTCTACAGAGATTCCCCAGTATATCTCTGTTGCAACTGAAAGATCACAATAATTAACCCCGAAAAAGTCAAAGCAGTGCAAAAACTACCAGATTACTATTTTGCTTGTGATAAGGAGAAACACTAAACACATGCGGGCATTTATACTTTTTTTCTGTTTACTGAACTTGTCTGCACTAATGAAAATAGGAGACTCATTAGAAAAAACAGATGGCCAACCCAAAATTAACTCTGGGTTATACAAGAGTGGCCAACACAAAATACACATTCCTGATATGGGAGTTCCATCTCAGTTTATATTTTTATAGTACTGTGACGGTTGGGTTTAGAGTGGGGTAGGAGTAAAAAAAACAAAACAATTGATTGGGAAATTTAATAGCTTATATAAATAATAATTAGAACAACTACTGTTTTTACAGTACTGTAACAGTTGGGCTTAGGGTTGAGGTGGGGGTAGACATTAATAAAATACAATAAATGGAAAATTTCATAAATAATGTAAATAAATCTTGTTAACTTTCGTCTGCATCCATATCCAATCTAGCAACAACCATTTCAAACTCAACACAGAACAATTACTATGGTATAAAAGCAGCACTACAACATACAAAAGAGAGAGATCGACTTACCAGTTTTATAATGATTTGATCAGCTGTGGTTCAACATTACACTGAATGTTTCTCCTCTAATAGCTTATAATGCGGTCTATGTTGCCATCTTGTGGATGGCGCTGTATTTCCCAAATTATAAATATTTAAAATGGGTATTATCCATATAAATAAACCGTATAATTGCAATCTAAACAACTATTCTCATTTAATATGCCTTAAAAGTACATTATGTTTTCCAACAGCTGCAATATTTGTCAAACTGTAGTGAGTTTATTAATCTGCTGTCACTCTATGTGGGCGGAGGGATACAGAAGGGTTAAGAGGCTATAGGAGTTCTGAAATCAGCTAGATTCAGAGTCGAGAATCAGACAGAATTGTTGTATAAATCAACACAATCTCACAGCAAAAAAAAGCAATCAATCATTTTTAGTGCCATGGTGTACAGATCACAACTTCCAGATCAAAATCATTCAGATAATTTCATCATATAATGGCATTGAGATCAATAAAAGTAATTTCCACAGTAAATTAAATTGTTCACAAATAAAATTAATTTTGCTTGAAAAGTAAATCAATAATTAATGCACAGTGGCAAAATCACATTTTTGTTTTCATTCACTCAGATTTATTTATTAACAACATTTTCAAAGGTATTCATAGAAAGATAAAGCATCATTAAAAGCCTTAATAGACATGTTATCGATTAAATTAATTGATTTTTAACTATACAAACAAACATAAAAAGACATGAGGCTTAAATTTCCTCATGGACACGTAAACCCACCTTAGAATAGTCACCAAAACCAGAACATTTCCAACAAGCCCGGTGGAGCACAGAAATCCAATAAACGCGGGAAGGATTTTAGTTTCGGTGACATGAACAATATTATAATACTCGTCAGCTGGATGTCCTGCTGTAGTCTCATTAGCGCACGTGCCGTTCTCCAATTTCAGCGTAAAGTTCCAAACAACAGGTTCCAACAACTCCACCATGGCGTTCATCACTTGCGCTACATTCTGCTCGCCGAAAATGCGCTGAAATGGGGTATCTCCACGCGTACTTGTATATCCATGTCGTGGGTTTCAGCGTCTTGATCACACTAGATAATGCGCCCTGGGGTCTCCGGTCTAACCAGAGCGCGCGCAGCAGCACCTTCTGAAGAGCCCGTGACGCATAGCAGATCCATGTAACTGACAGGTACAAGGCAGTTGACGAGATTTTATAACACATCCGGTCTCTCTTTTATTTTAAACTTCAATTATTTGCATTCAAGAGTGAATATAGGACAAAATGGCAACTCTAATAGTCTATATCCAAATATATTGTGTCCTCTTTATTGTATACTGTAATCACCACAAAACGTTTCTTAAATGTTACCCCAGCTTTTACAAGGATAGAGGGCTAGACTTGCGTTCATTATTCAAGCACACATTTGATTTAATATTTAACCCAAAATTAATCTTTTATATGTCATGATCAAAAATTGTTGAATTCACACTCAGGTGCTTTTAAAATATAAAGATATTCATACGAGGAAGACTCTAAATGCCATCTGATATCTGAGTGTCTATGCTCAATCTCCTGTGTGGTTCATCATGTTTATGTTGATCAATAGGTTATTTTCAGTTTAAAATTTAATAAGTTAACATAAGAGGCTTTTTGATCTGAACTCCTAGTATGTGCACAATAAGTACACTTAATAAAAGTATACTAAAGCGCACTTCTATTCTGCAAGATAGTGAGCTCAACACAGCTAAAACATGCATAAAGAAAACTGATGCAAGTTTAGCAGATTTATAATGCCACAAAATGGCTCTCCTTAATCATTATACAGCCATAATAGATTTGGCTTGCATGCTACATTTCTCATCATTGCATGTGTTGGTGCTTCATTTAGATCTCTTTTATATCACCCTATGAATTCATTAGCAGATAATCTACATTTGACATTTTTACACGTTGCACATAGGCTACATGTAATATTCATGCAGTTCCTGCCAATGTAATTAATAACCTTGGCCTTGCTAGCGCTAAACTATTTTGAGCTCAACAGAAACAACAAGAACAACAAAGCACCATAAGCCTACAGTATGAACATTACAGCTGGGGAAAAGTATGCAACAAGCACCAGTTAGGTATGGTATTCATGATGCACAACCTCACAACCATGATGTAGCTCTCAGAAAAATACCAGTTGAATCTTGTAATTAAAGTCAATCTAAAGGGGGGAAATGCACTTAAGGGTCTTAATGAAAATTAAGTGTTACTATCATGCAGTGCTCCATTATAATGCATCATTAGTATGTCAAAGTATACATGAAATGAATTTCCTTGGCAACACGCTTGAATGTTTGAATGTTACATTTATGATTCCTAGTGACATGTCATAGCACATGGATCCATCAAAGTCATTGCATCACCAGAGGCGCCCCCAGAAAATTTTCTTAGGGGTGGCCTGAAGAGGCCGCACCAAATCTTGGGGTGGCACACAAAAAAATAATGAATTAAGTGTAATGTTATATTTTTGTTTCTGGTAAATGAAATAATGTAGTTTTTATTAATTTAATTAATTCTTCTTGTAGTATTACAATTTATTCCTGAAATAATTCAGCAAGTACATGTGCAAACCAAATAAAAATCCATGTTTAGTTTAAAAACACTTTTCATATACTGTATAAATATTTTCTTTTTTATGTGCCTGTATTGTACATCATACGGTATATGCCATGTCTAAAATTAATGAAGATTAATGAGTTTATTATTCCCAGTGATGGGTTGCAGCTAGTTTAAATGACACCCTGGGCGAACCCACCTATACATCCCCCACCTCTCTTGAATTGTTAGATTTGTTATTCTTCAATAAATATAACAATTTATTTACATTTATTCTAAATAAATACAATAAATATTAATATACAATTATTATTCTAAATAAATAACAGAAATCAGTCCTAAATATTACTGCAAAACAACAACTGGAGTGATATGCCAAGATCACTTAAGAAACCTTTTGCATGAAAATTAATTATGACAATTCTAAAGAATACAAAAAATGTATTATAGAATTATCTGTGGTCTTAGACCAGATCATGGCTGAGAAATCATGTTATGAAGTCTTACCTCCCTGACTATCCCTCCTTTCTGCTTTAAAGGTATGCTTAGTAAAAGTAACATCATCATCATCATCATCATCATCGTTTATAAACTTTAGTCGACTTTCAAAACTCGCTGCTTGCCGACACCTCTGCACAAAAGGCTGTTACTCCGGTTTCACGGCGCATGAGCGGTGCCTATTTTGTCGGCGTGCATGCAAACAACCAACCGGGATTCACACAGGAGTGCGTGAGGCACGCGGGAATGGTTTTCTGCGCGCATGCGTCAGTCTGCTTTTACCAGCATTGAACCAGAGGGGGGAGAGCTATGTCAGTAATACCAACAATAATTTAGTGGCTGCATTTTATTTATTTATTTATTTAAATATTGGGAATTTATTAGTTCATTTAAATCAATAATGTCAACCGCAAAATTATATTTGGGTGGCCAAAGGGGTGGCCACAGGGGTGGCCAGAGTTTACAGAGGGTTGGCCGTGGCCACCCCTGGCCACCCCTTGGGGGCGCCCCTGTGCATCACCAGCCTATAAATGTTTCCTCTGCAGTTTGTGTCTCGGGTCCTTTGAGATAATCAAAAATCATTGTTTACGTGGTAGACTCTTGATCTGAGTATTGTCTTATTCATATTAAAATCGGAGTATTGGTGTAAACATACTAAGATAATGTGCCAGATGATGTCACAAGCTGTTAAAGACAGTCCTTTCCACACCTTTAAGTTGATTCCATGAACCCTCACATTTCATAAGTTTGAGGGTATTGCTCCATTACACGCAACTTTTGTAAAGAATCTGCTGCATGTTAGTGTGTCAGAATCCTTGCTGGTAAAATATAGCCATACCTCAGAATGCTTAGTTTAAGCAAATTAGATGAATGCAATCATGCTTGTTGATGAAGTGAATCGCTCACCTCATGCGCCGTACTGCGCGCTTTGCCTTTTATAAGCCACATCAACAAACACCTGACATCAATGACATCCGTATCCTTCAAAGCTGTTTAGAATTAAAAATTTATGCACCCCTTTATGCTTCTTAAGGGCGTCAAATAGCAGATGCGCCGCTCAGAGCCGCGGCACGGCGCGCACATGATAGTTGAATGTATCACACACCAGATGTGCACATTGGCATGTTATTTAAAAAGAAACTATACAGATGGCACTCTGTAGCGCGGCAGAAAAACAGTCATGAGTCATGGCTGGGTGCCGTGGACAGCTGCTGACTTGCGAATTCTAAAATGTATGGCTCTGCATAACCGGATGCTGCGAGACCGTCTGCCTGAGGGTAGCAGAGAGAAAAGTCTATGGCTTGGATGGCCGGAGTCGCTGATGATTCTCTTGGCTTTCCTCATGCATCACCTGCTGTAGATGTCCTGAAAGGAGAGAAGCTCATCTTCTACTACGTGTCCAGTAGTTCGAACAATCCTATGTAGGCCTTTGCAATTGCTACTGGGTGCTGTTTCCATACCAGGTGGTGATATAGCCAGTCAGGATGCTCTCCACAGTGTCTGTAGAACGAGCATAGGATGTGGGGGCTCATTTTAACCCTCCTGAGACGCCAGATTAAAAAGAGGTGTTGTGCCTTCCTCACCACTGCATCTGTGTGAGCAGTCCATGTCAAATTCTCAGTGATGTGTACTCCAAGAAACTTGAAAGTGCTGACTCTCTCCACTGGTGTCCCCCGTTGATGGTGATGAGAGTGTGTTCTCTCTTTTCTCTCCTTAAATCCTCCACCCTAGGTTTTGTTGATGCTGAGTGAGAGGTGGTTTTCCTGACTCCACTGCGTCAGAGTGTGCACGTCCTCTCTGTAGGCCATCTATCGGTATCATTATCGGTGATTAGGCCCACCACTGTTGTGTCATCAGCAAATTTAACGATGACGTTGAGCTGTGTTTGGATGTACAGTCATGCGTGTACAGGGAGTACAGGAGTGGGCTGAGAACACAACCCTTTGGAGCACCAGTGTTGAGGATCAGTGTGGATGAGGTAATGTTGTTCATTCTGATAACCTGGCATCTGCCTGACAGAAAGTCCAGGATCCAGTTGCACAGAGAGCTTCACCACCAGCTTAACAGGCACTATAGTGTTGAATTCTGAGCTGTAGTCCACCAACAGCATTCTCCCATGTGTTTTTGTTTTCCAGCTCAGACAGAGCAGTGTGCAAGGTGAAAGCAATTGCATCATCAGTGGAGCGGTTATTTCTATGTGCAAATTCCAGAGGGTCAGTGTGAGCGGTGCTTTTTAATCAGCTTCTCAAAGCACTTGTTTAAGATGGGTGTCGGAGCAACCGGACGCCAGTCATTCAAGCATGTGGTTTTAGCTGATTTCAGTACAGGCACAATAGTAGCTGTCTAAAGGCAGGTGGGAACCACAGACCAAGAGAGCGAGAGGTTAAATGTGTTAGTGAAAACCCCCGCCAGCTGGTGTGCGCATGCTTTAAGTACATGTCCAGAGATGCCATCTGGGCCCGTAGCTTTTCGGATGTTAACACAACGGAAAAATCCCGTTACATTTGCTACGGAAACAGGGATTGTGCTGGCGGTTTCTGTATCAGCCGCGGGAGCCATGGGCTTCAAAGCGGGCATAGAATGAGTTGAGCTCGTCTGGGAGAGACGCAGCCATGTTCACAGTGACGGGTTTGTTAATTTTAAAGTCAGTGATGTAAATAAGTCCCTGCCTCCTTGCGTTGGTGTTAAATTGACCCTTTACCTTGTCTTTGTATTGACGTTTTGCTGCTTTAATGGTCTTTCTGAACTGGCATTAAGCACAAAAAACACATTTTAAAAGCAGAATATTTGACTTCAGTATTGTTTTTCAGATAAACAAGAATTTTCACTTAGCATGTTTCTTAAATATCTGCAAATATATTATGGTATTTTATGCTTAAGAAGAGTCAAAAAGTTACATAAAGCACTTATCTGCTAAAACAATGCTCTAAACAAGGCAGTTTCTCATTAAACATGATCAATATGCAAATCCCACTATCCTAATGACATAAATGGGCAGGGAAAAGAATGTAGCCTTCAATTACGATTGAGGGTTTGAAATTTGAAAATAAGGTTTGTCTGTTTGAAATAGGCTGCATTCATTTTTTAAGGTGATTCCCGGAAGAACGCTATTTTTTTTCAAGCAGCATTTAGTTAAATGTGCAACAAATTGCAGTAATTCAGACATCTGGTGTCCCACTGAGAGCCCGGCAGATAAATGCACTGAGCTCTGCTATCTGAATCTCTAATTAAACACTCAGTGATCTGCACTGCACTTTATATATAATGGAATATTGCGTGGGTTTAACAAAATTTATCTGGACAAAGCGGCAACGATGTAATAAATGCCATGCTGGCAGGAAATGAACGAATGTTAAATATGCACTCTGTTTGGAAAGCAAGATATACTGTATTTGACCTTCCTAATAAATCAAGAGAATTACAAACGACAACAAACACTTCAAATGGCATTACAGATGCCTTTTGAAGCACTCAGTTGGCAACCATGATGGCTCATTAAGTTTTGTTGCTGATGTTTTTTTAACATAATCACTTCAAGCCGTGACTACCACATGATTTAAATAAAATAATGAGTAATTTATAATAGAATTATAAGGTAAATGATTGTGGTTGTTTAATAATATCTCTGCTTTGTATATCTGGTAGCAAAATTAAAGTTTTATTGAAGATAAAAAATGTGAAAGTAATTAATGGCCTTGCACAGAATAGTTATTTTTATAGCCTAGCACAGGCTGTCTTAATATAACCCGATAGTCAAACAAAATAGCTTGTATAAATGTCAAGAAAAGTGTTGTACTGTATGAATAGAAACATTAACATGGATTACATAAACTATGTTTTGAAATCAAAGTATTTCATATAATTTATTAAACAATGCAACTCTTTTCATAAAGTACACCTTTTATTAAGGATAAAATTGGTTTACAGTACTGTTTGCATATAATCATGACTAACATCACACTTAAAACAGATTTTTAAAAATACATTTCCGCATATTATAATTTTTTATGAATCTCACTGTGGTCTGTGTATTTTGGATGGTCATAGTTTACATGTTTGGACGGTCATGGCATTTTCAGGCCAGCTGTATGAGTCCACAGCAAACTCTTGGTAGTCTGTGCTATAGATGAGTGAACGGATGAAAGCATCTTTATCTTGCGGCTCTGGGTGCAGCGTAGCCATTTTGTGCTTATATGCATACTCCACTATCTACAATGAGACACATAAAATAAATGTTAAACGAGCAATCTGTAAGAAGCAACATGCTTAAACCGCAGCAGCTGATTAAGCCCACCTTCACAGCCAGTTTGATGGAAACTTCCCGAATGCTGCTGAGAGGAGGATACAGACGACCCTCTGCGAGATCCTTGTCAGTCACCAGTTCTGCTATAGCCTGTGTCAATTGACAAAGTGACAAATTGAAGATTGTTGTGGACTTACTATGTGGATGGTAAGTCTACACCAGTTTTACCTTCACTAATCCCATTTTCTGATAGAACTGCATCAATTATTTATACTGGGTTTCCATGGCGTACACACATTTGTTAGAGAGAAATGAGTGGTTATTTTGGCTGCATTTAAAGGTGCCATATAATAAAAGTCCGGATAAATATTTGCTCCTTTAACATTTTTGCATAAAATGATTGTTGACATGTGCACTACCTGACAAAAGTCTTTTCATTGATACCAGTTGAAAGAGCAGCAAATAATAACTTGACTTCTAGTTGATCATTTGAAAAAGTGTCAGAAGGTAGTTTTTTCATCTGTTGAACTGCATCCCAATCATCACAAATACTGCAGAAGACCTAGTGGAACCCACATGGACCAACAATTCTCACTGATATCAGTCAAGTTTGGTGAAGGAAAAATCATGGTTTGGGGTTACATTCAGTATAGGGGTTTGCCAGAGATGTGCAGAGTGGATGGCAACATCAACAGCCTGAGGTATCAAGACATTTGTACTGCCCATTACATTAAAAACCACAAGTGAGGGCAAATTCATCAGCAGGATAATGCTCCTTCACATACTTCAGCCTCCTGAAGTTCCTGAAAGCAAAGAAGGTCAAGCTGCTCCAGGATTGGCCAGCCCAGTCATCAGACATGAACATTATTGAGCATGTCTGGTGTAAGATGAAGAAGGAGGCATTGAAGATGAATAAAATGTATCTTGATGAACTGTGGGAGTCCTGCAAGAATGCTTTCTTTGCCATTCCAGATGACTTTATTAATCAGTTATTTGAGTCATTGCAGAGATGTATGTCATCCAAGCTCATCGGAGTCATACACAATATTAATTATTTTCCCACTGCACCATGACTTTATATTCTATACTATACATTCTTTCTGTTAAGTGACAAGACTTTTGTCTAAGCAGTCTTAGTCAGACTTTACTAATTAAATAATTAAAAATCAAAGCACAATCATATATATATATATATATATATATATATATATATATATATATATATATATATATATATATATATATATATATATATATATATATATATATATATATATATATATATATATATATATATATATATATATATATATATATATATATATATATATATATATATATATATATATATATATATATATATATATATATATATATATATATATATATACATATACATATATATATATATATATATATATATATATATATATATATATATATATATATACATACATACATATATATATACATATATATATATATACATATATATATACATACATATATATATATATATATATATATATATATATATATATATATATATATACATATACATATATATATATATATATATATATATATATATATATATATATATATATATATATATATATATATATATATATATATATATATATATATATATATATATATATATATATATATATATATATATATATATATATATACATATATATACATATATATATATACACATATATATATATATATATATATATATATACACATACACAGATATATATATAGATATATATATATATA